TTTGGTAGACATATTTCCTATTTGTTGTAGGTAAACATTTAAGAGGAGAACTGATGTCATGAGGTAGGCTATATGTTCAGCTTTCATAGATATAATCAAATAGTTTTCCAAAATTTGTACTCTGACCAGAAACAAATGATAGTATGTGGTCTGCAGCCTTGCAATCCACTGTCATCATTACAAAACTCTTGTACATGCATGAGGAGCCAAATACAAGAAGGTTCACTGGGTACAGTTTGGGAAATTCAAAGAACTGGCAATAAGCCAACAAATATCACCACACACACAAAATGACCACATAATGGCATAATAATGCCCTATAACACCATTCAATAATTAAAATAAAGTAATTCCATAGTATCATTGTAGACAAATCTCAAAACCAATATTGTTCAAAAAAGGTAAGTTTCTAAAGATCCAAACTGCACAATACTTTTACATAAAGTTAACAGTATATTTTGTTCATAAAAATACCGAAAAATGTGGAAAAAGAACAAATCATAGATGAGAACAACACTAAATTTAGGATAGCTATTACTTTTGGGCAATATACAAGCAAAACAATCAGAGCAGCAATAGGGTCATTAATGTTTAATTCAAAAATACAGAGATCTGGCTGGGCATGGGCGTGTGGCATACACCTGTAATCCCAGGAGCTTGGGAGGCTGAGAAAGGAGGATCATGAGTTCAAAGCCAGCCTGAGCCAAAAAGTGAGACACTAAGCAACTCAGTGAGACCCTAATCTCTAAATAAAACACAAAATAGGTCTGGGGATGTGGCTCAGTGGTCAAGTGCCCCTGAATTTAATCCCCAGTCCCTACTTCCAAATGAACAGATCTGAAATATAGCAAAGCATTAAGATTTGACAAAGATATCTACATATGAGGGCATATAAGTGTTCATTACCATTATTTTCTCTTATTTACTAATGAAAAAAGGTTACTATGGTAGCAGTGTGGAAAATGGACAGAAGTGGGAGGATACAAAATGGAAACAAAGAAGACAATTAGAATACTTTTTAAATCCAGTGAGAAATGATAAGCAATTACAATAAAAAGGAAGGAGGGAGAGAAAGGAGTGAATCTGAGAGGTAATCAGAAAATAAAATCAGCAGGATGAGGTATGAGATCAGATTTAAGATGTGCAAGGTAGAAATATGGGGATGAAATAAGAAAGTAGGAGGAGAGGAAGTCATTAGACAAGGAGTTCCTTTGTGGACCTGCTGGGTTTGAAGGGCACAGTCTCTGTCCCAGGGAGAAAATTCAATAGGAAGCAACATAGCAAAGTTGTTAACAGCCACAGGTTCTGAGTCAGTGTCCTTGTTTAAACCCTGTTTAAGCCAGTTTTAAACGGCTACAAGCCTCAGCTTTCCTGTTTATAGAAAGAGAGTGTGGTAATGACTATTTCCACAGTATTTTTTAAAAATATTTTTTAGTTGTCAATGGATCTTTCATTATTTATATGTGATGCTGAGGATTGAACCCAGGGTCTCACACATGCCAGGCAAGCACTCTATCACTGAGCCATGACTCCAGTCCCTTTCCACAGTGTTTTTTAAGAGTGAAATTAGATAACACTTGTAAATTTCTAAGCAAAGTATTTGGCCTAGACTAACCATTCAATAAACATCTACAGCAAATACTTTTTTTAGAATGTACTTCTATCATATTTATCACAGGAATCTTCAGTAATTCCACCCCGGTCTCTGAAGCATTTATTTATACAAATTATATTCTGTTATTTACAGAGGTTTTTAATAAAAGTATTAAGATACTTAATATCATACCTTATTTTAAATTGCTGAATCATTTTACTGAGGATAGTGCATCATTTTCCAACTCAAGAATAAATCCTGAAAGTACTAAACATGAGTTCTAAGCCCAATTCCTATACAATTCTACTAAATATGACCATTCATATTAGTAGAAAGCATACAAGTCATATGCCAGGCCCTCAGGGATGAGAACAATAAACAAGAGAGAAACCACATTAATCAAAATCACAGTCCATACATGTTCTGCTAACAAATACTTAGCATAATAAATGCTAAAACGGGGGTATACAGGTGCTACAGAACAAAGCCAAAAGGATTTCTCTCAGAATCTGAGAGTTAAGAAGGGCATTCTAAAGGATAAGGTATCTGACATGAAAGATAAGTAGGAATTAACACAAGAAGGCAGAGAGGTAAAATTTGATTTTTAAAAACATTTCCCAGGCAGAGGGAATATTTTGTTCTAATATCTCAGAAATAGAGTGCCTAAGTACTAAAGCAGGAAGTGGCTGAAATGTGCAGAATAGCCTTGTAAGTCATATTCTTTGTAATAAATTAAGTAAGATATTGCTTTAAAATGCTTGGCACAGTTCCTGGTCCAAAATTTTTTTTTGCTCTAATTGTTAAATATCACTGTTAACCAATACCATCCTCCTCTTGGCCATGATTTGGAATTAGACAATATACCCACTAAGAAATGAGCTAGCCTTCCTTAGTCAGTTGCCAGAAACAGGACAGTTCTCCTGGGTATCTATGGTTCCAAATTCCCCATAGAAACCAAAGTTCACAGATGTTCAAGTCCCTTATATAAAAAGGAATGGTATTTGCAAACAACCTATGCACATCCTCTCACATAATTTAAATCATTTTTAGATTTCTTATAATACCTAGTACAATTGAAGTGCTGGGAAAACAGTTGTCATCCTGTATTATTTAGGGAATAATAACAAGAAAAAAAGTCTGTCATATTCAATACAAGTGTAATTTTCAGTTTTGAGTATTTCTGATACACAAATTGGTTGAATCCCTGGATGCGTAACCTGTGGAAATGGAGGGCTGATCATACAATACTTATTGAGTATATTCTTTGATTGGTAAGATAGGAACAGTAAAAACTGTGACACCGGTTTTAAGGAACAGATAGTGTGGAGAGCTCCCAGATGTAACAGGGCAAATGTCAGGAACCCACAAAAATGGTTCCTATTAAGAAAATCATCAAACGGGTTAGAGAAATGAAGAGTGTGAAGTTAGCTTCACTTTGGGGTTAAGTAATAGGAATGCCCTAGAAATAAAGTCACCTTAGGACTGAACTCCTCTAATTAGCAGGGCAAGATACACACACCAAAAATGTTACAGGAATCAATACCACTCTGAGGATGTTTTTACTTTCCTAATATATAAGCCTTTTTCACAAAAAGAGAAACTAATTACAATTCACTTTTTCACAATTAATAATTTAACAATTACAATTATTAAAGTTATATATATGCACACACACACACACACACACACACACACACACACATACACAAATCTCCACATGTATGTATATTATTTCAAATAAAAATTCTAGGGGAAAAATTCCAAATTTCATTGCTCTAAAACAATGTCTAATTTTATATATTTCTTTCTAAGTAATTTAAAGATAATAATTAGAAGGCTTTTCAATTCCACATTAAACTGTTCTGATTTAAGACCCAAGTCAAATGAATACTGGATTAGAAATGTTTCAGGAGTACTCACTTTTGTAAAAGCAAAGTAACAAACTCTTTGGGTGCATTAAATAAGACAATATTATAATGTGACAGATCAACCTTCGAGTAACACATGTGAGAGTTGGTGACTCACTGACAACTTAAAACATTTATTTCTACCTACTCCATTTTCTTTCTAATGAAAAAATTCTAAGAAAATTTTACTGATATTACTTCTGAGTGAATAAAATATCACAATATATTTGACAAAGGAAGCATTAAGCTATTATCATTTCCTTACAAAGCAAAGCAAAGAAAATTTTACCTAAAAGATGAACCAAAATCAAATAAGTATTTTTGTCATCCTACCATACAATTATCAGAAAATCCCAAGTAAACTGAAGGTTAAATTTCCTAGGACAAAAAAGCCCAAATGAGTGTATAAAGCTTATTTCAGAATTTTCAAATTTAAAAAAAAAATCCTTCAACATCACTACAACCTTATCTAAAATCTTATCCAAATGACATAAGAATATACTTAAAACTTGTTAAAAGTAGGAATTTAAAAAAACAAAAACAAAAACCCTTACAGATCTTACTTGGGTCCTAATAACAGTTGTCTCTCAGTATTTGGGGGAGAGTGGTTCTAGGATCTCATCCTCCAGCCACCCAAATCCTCAGATGCTTAATTAAGCCCCATAAATAAAATAGTACAGTATTTGCATATAAACTATACACATCCCTTTTGTACTCTGAACCATCTCTAGATGACTTACAATCCCTAACAAAATGTCAGTGCTGGGTAAATAGTTGTTACACTGTACTGTGTAGGGAATAATGACAAGGAAAAAGTCTGTACATGATCAGCGTTCGGTACAAATGCAATTTTTAAAAAAATGTTTTCCATCTATAGTTGGCTGAATCTGTGGATACAACATCTATGAATACAGAGGTTGGGCAAGCGTATTCATAAGTCTATACTTAGGGCTCAAGTAGAAGTCCTCAATAATCTCTCATGTGCCTCACGATCATATTGTGTACATTTGCTGATGCTAAACTTTAAATTATCATATTACAGTCCTCCCCACATTTACATGACTTAACTGTAGCCTTTCAAGTCCATAAATTCTCCTAATCATCACTATTTATCACATAAAAATGTCAAGAAATGAGTGGAATATACTAAAAACCACATAAATAAGTGTCAAAAAAGAAACACCCAAATTACTGAAGAGCAAATTTTATTCCCAATCTTGAAATACACAAGGCAAAAATCCATTAAAATGTCTAAAACAATCCTAGCTAACAGTGATTATCCATGTAAAAAAATATTTACCACTTCTCTGAAAGCCAATCTCCAAAGAAAATGTTAAATCTAGGTATAAAACAAATTAATTTCACATTGCATTTCAATACCAATTAATCAAATAAGTTCAACTTACCAATTAAATTTCATTCAGTTCACAGCTGTCATACATGTGCATTTTTCTTCACCCCCAATAACATTTTAAAAATCTCTAGTAGTGAAAACCTACCTTTGAGGTTCTTTGAAGCTGATCACCAACGTATGTTTTACGAAACTGATCCAAGAACCATAAAACTGCAAGCTCTATTTTCTCATTAGAACATCGAGGCAATCCAGTATCCATTAAAGATATAAGCTGAAAAACTCTTTTCATGGAGAGAGAGAGAGAGAGAGAGAGAGAGAGAGAGAGAGAGAGAGAGAGAGAGAAAAGAAGCTTCAGTACAAATTGTTCAAGAAACATTAAGATACTTATAATAAATATATAATCAATGTAAAAAGTGGGGCATATAAAGAAAAGTCCTAAAATCATTTGAAATCCTACCTATGAAAAAGACATTATATTATTATCTAATTCCTTCTAATCCTTTTTTCCTAAGACATATATACACATGAATACAAATCTGTATATGAACATATAGACATTATTTTACTAAAAATTTCCACATATAAACATATAGCATACACATATAAGTGAATAGTATACATACAGATATAAATAACTACCATGCATATATTTTAACAAAAGAATGATATTTAATGTGTAGTTTCACATTTTATTTTTCACTATTTCTAAATAATTACTTTATAATCACATGACTGTAAATTAAAATATCAAGAACTATACCCATGTTACATCACTCTAATGAGTCATAAAAGTTTTACCTAAATAAACCCAGAAGATGATTTTAATAAAATCAAACACTTTCAACACTAAACTATTATTTTACTATTAGTTATTTTAAAAATCATAAATTCTTATTACTATTATTAGAAATTATTATGAGAAAATCACTAATGGACTGAAGGTTAAATTTCCTAGAGAAACAAACTTAAATATAACAAAAAGTTTAGTCTTGAATTTTCAAAAAAGAAATTCTTCAACACAACCTACTTTTATTAACCCATTTTGTTCTGTTGTCCCAGATGTGGAACACCTCTAAAAGCTTTAGTATATTACATGTAACTACTTAACATAAATTTATACACACATACTACTAAGTACATACTACTAAGAATTAGTGCATAACACTAATATAACATTATTAATATAAGTCCTAGATGACGATTTCCATCCATTTTAATGTACCCACATCAATTTTGTTGAACTATTTCCAGAAGTGAAAATTTGGGACTTACTGATTTATAATTTTCTGCTGGGTGGCTGCCAAGGGACTTGCATTAACAAAATCAGCATATCAGAATACTTTTTTGAGACAGAAGCAGAAGTTGCTGAGGATGCAATACCCTTTTCTAAATAAATCTGCACAAGAGCAGCTACAACTGTCCCTGACCCACCTAATTCCTAGAATGCATACAAACACATTAAGAGTATGTGTTTTTACAAACATGGATGCTTTTTACAAGACTATATATACTCTTGCCAACAAATAAGGGAAAAAGGACTATACATCCCCTCCCCCACACACTCTACTATGTGTGATCTGAGCTAGCTTTCTCCATTTAACAATGTGTCTTGGAGGTCCTCTGTCAAACACAAAGGCTCCCTCACTCTCTTTGCAGCTGCTTAACGTTCCATTCTAGGAGTGTGCCATGGTATTTTGACACATTCCCTTCTGATAAACACTAAGTTGATTGAAATTTTTCTTGTGACAAAAATGCTGAAAATACATTCTACGTGTATTTTTATAAAACACATTTCTAAATGGCATAGAATTTTGGTGTAGGCTTAGTATATATTTGTCTTATATGAGGTTGACATTTTCATTTTTAAGTCATATGTATGTCCTTTCCTGGGACCTATTTGTGCATATTTTTGGTTGATTTTTTTTTTTCCTACCAGATTTTCTTTATGATTTCTGTAAAATTTTACGAAATAGAGAACTAGACTTTTTGCCTATAATTAAGCTGTAAATAATTTTTCATTTATCTGAAATTTGACAATGGCGCTTTTAAAATTCCCCACGCAAGTTTTTATTCTTTTTGTTATGCTGAAAATATTGTAATTTTTTTTATTTTGTAGATTTTGTATAACTACAAGATCTTACTTGAATCTGAGTTATTTTACTATTTTAATCTTTCATATTTATATCTCTATAACACATTTGGACTTATTACTAAATAATTTTACAAGGCACTATTTTTATGGCTGATAATATTGAGGTTCTGCCAAAATTTAATAATCTTATTTTGCATGTAAACTTATTTTTTTAAATATTTATTTTATTAGGTGTAGATGGACACAACACAATGCCTTTATTTTTATGTGGTGCTGAGGATCGAACCCAGGTCCCGCCCATGCTAGGTGAGCGCTCTACTGCTGAGCCACAAATTTATATATCTAAACGAAACATAATATTTGCCCTCTCATCTATCCCTATGAAGATTTCTAGAAACAGAATGTCTAGGTCACAGGGTATCAATTTTTTTAAAACAGTGCATGTCGTCAAAGTGTTAAGAAAATATATTTTAAAGTGATCACTTGCTGTATTTATATTAAAATACTTTTTAAAAAGTTCCCTTCACAGGGCTGGGGATGTGGCTCAAGCGGTAGCACGCTAGCCTGGCATGCATGCGGCCTGGGTACGATCCTCAGCACCACATACAAAGATATTGTGTCCACCGAAAATTTAAAATATTAAAAAAAAATTCTCTCTCTTTAAAAAAGTTCCCTTCACTTACCAACTATCTTCAGCCCTGCTAAGATTTACAAAAGGGAACCTACTGAAGAAGTAGGTTACTGTAACCATGATGATGTGTTTATCTGATTTTGGGAGGAGGGACAAAGATGACTTTAAAGTCTGTGTACTGCTCAATTAGCAGATTGTTGGTGTAATTTTAAAATAGATGCATACACCAAATTTCATCTCTGGATCCAGTTGACGTGTCAAGTGACTTAAAGAGGGATAGCTTGCTTTTAATTCTTTACTTTGTAGGACCTCCCTTCTACACAAGTTTTTTTTTTTTTTTACTCTATGTACTTTCTCATATTTACTTTTGTTTCCTTTCTATAGTACACATTCCCAAATCCAAGGATGATGTAAAACCAAAAGACAAATTTGTTGGCCAGCCTTTATTACTCATATTAATCTGGTGATTTACATCTCCCAGCAGGAAAGAAGGAAAGAATTCCCAGAGGGTATATGATCCATTTGTCAAAGGAGTTTTGGTAGCTGTACAGGTTCAGCTGCAAGTGCCTAAAATCCAAAGCAACAATGGCTTAAGCAATACAAATGTTTATTTCTCTCTCAAGCAAAAATCCAAGGCAGTGTCCAAGGCTGGCTGGTGCTCCGTGATGCATCAGGGGCTCAGTTTCCTTCTGTCTTGTTGGTACACTAGCCTGCAGTCACTCTGCACTCTAAGACAGCTTCTTCAGCTCCACCTGTTAAGTTCACACATTGCATCTAGCACTTTCACTTAACATCCAACTGCGCAGAACATAATCACTTAACCATATCTACCTTCAAGACAGGCCAGTAATTCTTATCTTTATTCAGAGTAAACATTTGCCCAGCAAAACACTTGGGTATTTTATTACTATAATGAAGAGAAGAAGAAATATGGGGGACAATTAACAGTTTCTGCCGTGGTATCCTTCAAAGAGTCATAGCCACCTCTAACAAGTGCATAAGATCAGTGCTTATATTTTACACACAAATAAGTATAATATCCACTCCCAATGTCAATGTAATAGTCCTACATCTATTTTTTTTCTTTATCTTAAATTATTTTTGGTTTAAAAAAGCTTGTAAGAAATAAAAAAGATAAATCATTAAAATATAAATCTTTAAGAATTTTAATCCACACCATTTCAAATACAAAGAAATGGATATTGAATAACACTTGTTTATATTCCCCTGGATTACCAATTTAATAAGCATTAAGTCAACAAATATTTGCAGGTCTACTGAATTCCAAGTGTGTATTAGATGTTCACAATACCAAACTGAGCGATATATATATATATATACACACACACACACACACACACACACACACACACACACATACATACACAATTCTCTAGAAATCAAAAATCTATCAAAGGAAAGACAATAAAATAAGCAATTAGAATAAAGCATAACTAGTTCTAAAATAAATGCTATAAATAATTTGCAAAGATAACTAATATTCTAGGATGAAACAGGGCAAAGGGTACTAAAAGAGGAAACATATGAGGCCACATACTGAGGGGGAAAAAAAAAGCTAATTTAAAACCTAAAAATGTTCAATATAGCTATGAAGCGGTGGGAGGTAAGGCTAGGGAGAAAGGCAGGTGTCAGATCATGAAAAGCCTGAAAAACCACGCTGATTTTTAATCATGGAGGAAAATCCATGAAAATCAGCGTGATGTCACCCCAAAGTTAAAGCAAAGCACTGACATAAACAGATCCATATTTTAGAGAATTTATTCTGGCTGCATAAAGGACACAGCAAGAAACCAATTTAAAAACTACAGCACCAGTCCCAGGTAAAAGACGGCAGCAGACCCCTTGGGATAACGAGAAGGCAGCATGGATGCTAAAGAAAGGAAAAAGGGAAAAGCTGAGGACTACTCTTGGGATGCAGGCGTGGACACTGAGTGGACAGTGACAAGACACAAGAAAGGAGTCAGGGTAAGGAGCAGACAGAAGAGGTGAGTTTCATTTAAGCCACTGACCTGGACCTGCGTGTGGGATAGACCGTCCCCAGTGTTTGGAGGCCAAAAGACAAGAATCACTAAAACCAAAAAGAAATGCCGAGACACTGTGGGCTCGACTGAGGCTGAAAATGGCGCATCAATGACAGTGAAACCTATCTACAGAAGTGTGCAATTTCTTTTATCGTCACTCAACAAATTAGTGAAAACCCTTAACTCCCCTAGGGTTAAGTTTGTGCCCTATAGGGTCTAAAATCCGGTAGTGAATGTCATCGTCAAAGCCTACTCCTTCCTTCCCTACTGCATGGGTCCACAGTGTGGAGCGGTGGTACCTCCTCGGGAAACACAGCATGACACGAATGCTGGCGGAACAGGGATGTGGAGGAGGCCACTTGGAAGGAGATGTCTGAGAAGACTAAAGGAAGTGAGGAGTGCTGAAGGGACACCCAGAAGCCCTCCCAGCAGGAGAGGTACAAGTGCAAGGCCTCTGAGGCCAGAACACAATGGGAGGCTCAAAGGGCAGGAGGACCAATGGGAGAGGGAGGAAAG